AAAATACAGTTCAAATGAACATTTTTAATTAAATCCTAATATGTACAATATAAATAATAGTCAATAATAGACATAGAAGAAATATTAAGTTTATTAGTTAATATTATAATAATTATAATAATAGGTTAGAAAAACTCTGTACACTAACTTTAACTGCAGTAAATATATGTCTATTCAATGTTGAGATATTTGAAAGGTTAAAATATATATTTTTAGTCACATTCAAAATATTTATATAAATTTTATAAATTATTTATTAAAAATGAATATGGAAACTAAATGATATACAATGTAGATATATTCCTTGTTTTGATTAAATTTGACAATACATTTGAATAATTGATAAGAAAATTAAGAAAGAATATTTGTCAATCATAACTATAGAAATAGAATAAGAAAATTAACTTTTGCAAATGCATTATTATTATGCATAATATAGACAGAATTACCGAATCTACAAATATAAATTATATAAAATTATATATAAATATAGTTTGGATATCGAAGTATGTTTTTTTAAATGGGATTGTATAATTTTTAATTTACTAGTGAATGCTGCTCAACATTCTTTATAAAAAAGTATTAACTCACGTAGATATATATATCTATATCGAAAAACCATTGCTTATAACTTATAATAGATATTTTAACTTTAATTCTACAAATCCTATTGCATGAAAAACAAGAACAATATAAACACAAAAATTTAATTTTTTCTTTTTCCTGTTCCTTCATATGACAAATTTTGCAAAGTTCAAATTAAAATATTTCCATAATCAATAGTTTATTTATACGAATAAGAAAACAAGTGGAAAATTTGGAATCCGTTATTTTAATCAGTATATCAGTTATTAAGTTTGATTAATTTCATTGATTTCTAAATGCAAAAATTCCACGCAAATTTAATAAGTAAGTAACTATAGAGATCCGATTGCCAATTCTATCTAGGAGCAGATAAATTTATCATTAAAAAAGAGTGTCATTGGCTAAGAAGATGATGCATAACGCGGCTAACAAGTAGGTGGAGAAGTTGAAAGGGCCGGTACCATCCCCGGTTCGGGTCCCTCCCGCCGATTTTCTCATGTCTACTGTTCCTCCGTTACATCGGGGTCTTAAGGGTGATTTCTTTTCGTTTCTGGCTCCGCCGGACTAAATTTCGCGCGTTAAGCCCTCAGTGTAATCCTGCCCTTAATATTCAAAAACGTGATCGCCCTGCCAAGCATGCCGAACGAAGTAACAGCCCCGGAGGAGTCGAGCGCAGCTCGACCAACCGAACTGGCGAACGAGGGAAGCTTTTCATATGCTAATTGGCATTCGTCATTTTCTTATGGCAGCGACTTAAGTGTGCTTAAGCGTGCTAACTCCTTTCTCGAAGCGTTAGAGCTTGGCCAAGCTCGTGGAACCGGTCGCTGCCATTCTCGAAATTGGATGGGTTTCGGAGTTCTTCTTGTCAATCGGCTCTTTCGGCCAATATCGGAATATCGAATCGAAAGAAGATAGTCAGAAATCGGTAATAAATCAAATGTTCGCGAATTATTTTTAAGATGATCGTATTACTATACTGAATATACAAATTAGTGAAATTAGTAATACGGAATGCTTGGAACTGGAAACTATAATAGAAGACTAATAGACGTGTAAGATATTGATAATAGCTGTCACTTATTGAGAACATTAATTAGAAAATTAATTAGAAAATATTGATCATAATACCTATTGAGAACGTTAGTTTTAGTAAAAAAAATTAATCAGAAATTATAAATATAATTATAAATATTGATGAAAATAGCTATCCTATATTAACTCTTTATATCTTGATACAGTTATTAAAAGTATCGCGTATATCACTCAATATGATATTTTTTATACAATAAATATTGTTTGTGTATATATGTCTATATTTCTTTCTTTTCTTTTTTTTTTTTTTTGTTTACTACTTCAAAAATATAATACCTACAATATAAGTTCCTTTATGTAAATCTCTATTTAAGTCTTAATATTCGAATGTTATTACAACAGAATTTCTACTAGTAACTAGAAACTCAGGTGCTATTAGTAGACATTTTATTTTTATAATATAACGTTCGAATATTAAGAAATTTGACAAAATAGAAAAGCTTCATTCTAGAAAATTTCTTTTCTTCTTTTCTGTGTTTACAATAAACTCTAATGGCACGAAAATTTCATAAAAGTGTCATAGGTAACTCAATTCTAGATATAAAGAGTTAAGAACATTAGTTAAAAATCTCATTAAACATTAATTGAAAATTATAAATATGAAACGTTGATAAAGAATGATTTAGAAAATTAATTAAAAATAATAAATGTAAAATATTGATAAAAAATTATTTAGAAAATTTATTAGAAGTAATAAATATAAAATATCGATAAAAAATTGTTTAGAAAATTAATTAGAAATAATTAATATAAAATATTGATAAAACTATTTGTTTTTTATTAATTCTTAAGTAGACTTTCAATTTTTGTTTAATAGTAGGAGTTTATACTTATACCAAATTGGTAAATAGATTGGTGAATAGAAATAAATTTTCCTTGCAGCATTGGAAACAATGAAATAATAGAGGATTTCATAAATTACATATAATATAATTATATTAATTATTAATTATATAGTGGCCTCAATCTATTTAAGGATTTAGAAAATATATTCTTAAAATATATGTTCGTGCTCTGTATTTCGAGAGTATTTAATATTTTATTTTAGATATAAAATATTTGAAACTTAAATATTGATCGTAACTCATTTAGATCACTACGTGAGAAATTCCAGCTACATGCCAAATTTTAATTAGCTGAAAATCTATAATATCAAGAGTAATTTCTACTTCTTAAATACATAATTAAGTTTATAAATAAAATTTTACATTAATAAATTCATTTAAAACGAATAGTATTAAATGTTGTGAGGCAACAATTTTTCCTCCTGAAATTAAGATAAAGTGCTTTCCCTCGTAAGCTCACCATTCTGATTGCTCTTTTTAATAAAAAGATTTCCGACGTCTGTTTTATAACGCCGACTTTTGTCTTTCTTCCTCAAATATCACGAATATTGAAATTTAACGCGTGTGGATATCGACGAATATTATCTAATAGCTTTGATATTCTTAATGTCCGAAGAGATTTCATAAGACTTTGGTGATTAATTAAACGTTCGTCCATTCTTATACCACGTTAAATACGCAAATTTATGTTAATGTATTCATCCGAGGAAATTAATTAAAGTTTCAAACGTTGTTGTGATAAAATTTTGAACGTGTTTATAATTAATACATGGCAATATACCTTCAGCTCGGTTATATTTTATTACATCTATTAGTCTATACCTATTTAAGACTTTTTCGAATATTCTTTAATGACTGATGTATTGAAAAAGTGTTCGTGTAGTTCTTAGATTCTTAAATAATCTTGTCTTAGATATTTACTGATAACTGTGTAATCTTTAATTCTATGAACTACCTTCAGATCGAGGAACTGAGTAAGCGAAAAATATGCTATATGAATTTTTTCCAAACAAAATTATTACCTACAGCATTATTTACGAGTGAAAAAATTGAAAAAAATATTTGCAAAAGATTTGCAATGATGTATATTATTTAATATAAGTTAAACTAATATACTATATATATATGTAATATAAATAAATAAAAAATATAAAATTCTATAAATGTGAGGTCAGAATTACTCCTTGCATCATTTTCATTCATCATTTTCTGTAATTATTATATTATGTGTTATATAGAATATGTATAATATTATCTTACAATGTATAATATGTAAAATATTATCTTACAGTTAATCATCTTCAAAACTTTAATATTATATTCATGATATTACATATAATATATTAAATAATTATATATTATTTTTACACTCATAGAATTATCTAGTTCATAAATATTAACTATAATATTAAACATAATATTAAACATTATGTATAAATATAATATTGCATTAATTAATACAATGTATTATTAATTATAATCAATAATGCTGTATTAATATAATATATATTTATAATATATGTAATTAATATTAATATAATAAATAATTAATATTTAATATTACATTTAATATTTATGAACTATTTCAATTTTATATAAATATAGTTAATATAATATATTTAATATACGTATATTAATGTAATCTATTGTATTTACTATAATCTATTATACTTTAAGAATTATTTGCAATAACATATTATATTATGATGAACACATATATTGTATATGAAAAAATTGAAAATATATTTACAAAACGTATGAAGTTAGCAGTAATTAATATTTATTTATCTGACATAGTTATGGTTAAGAAGTTTCAATTAAAATTCACTTCATTCATTTATATTTTACACTTTTTCCTCGTACAAAGAAATAACATTAATTAAAATAAGATAAAAAATATGAAACGAAAGGACAACTTTAATCTAAACTGAATCTATAAATAAAAATAGTATCGAACACTCACGTTCGATCCATCGTTGATGTGTCAACAGAAAATTTCTCAATCAATGAATAATATTTCGCAATGTGACTTCCCCATACAAATCGTGCAATTGTTAATTAAACTAAATTATGAAATTATTAAATACTTCGTACGTAATTACACTGATAAAGATTTCCATCAACAAGAATTCTTACTGATTATATCGTATTCACCCATTTAAATATCGAATTTACGGATGATCGCTTGTTCGACATATCGTCGACGTACGCATCTCATAAATACTTTTCCAGTCTGACTCGAGGTACCAGTATTACCGTCTCCTATTGTAGCACATACGTACATTACACTCCACCTTTATCGGAAGATATCTGAGCAGCGTATCTGTAACAAGATAACGTGTGTCGACTAAAAGTGCCTCGCCTTTGGTCTCACGTTAGTAGGTCCTCTCTTTATTAAACCGTTTTCGTGAAACGAAACAAACCGCACGATCAAGCACGATAAAAACTCCAGATCGAAACTCCAGTTGTTTGTGACCAATGTCAACAATGTGATTGAACGTCGTAGTTTTCGCAGTTTCGCATCGGTTGCAGAAATCGGCGTGTTGGGACAGTGCGTAAAAATAGAAGTTGTTGATCGATCGCCTTCTTTCGGAAGTAAGTTGACAAAGTTTGCTGAAATGGAGAATAAAACCGAGCTAATTTCTCGATTACAAATCATGAGTGACAAATAATTGACAGAAGTGAAATGTGACGAGGATTTTCCAGTGTAAAGGAATTTTAATAAAAATTCCATGAATCCTACGAGACGTCGTCATTGAATGATTCATCGTGACACATAAGTTAGACACGTGAAATACATTGCTAATTCGATTACAACTGGTGTTACGTGTATGAATAGCTAGTAGTAGAATTTAATTCATTAGTTCGTTAAAAATGACAAGATGCGAAAGAAATATTCGCGAGTTTTTGACCCAAAGTTACTAGTTGTATCACTTTTGTTTAATATCTAGTATATTATGATAAAATTGAATAATTTGTTATATTTATTATATTGTGATATCATTTAATATTATATTTAATATATTACTGGTATTAATATTGTAATATTACATATTAAATATTTAATTTATTAAATATTAATTTAAGAACGATATGAAGATTTATAATTAATATTTAAAAAAAAATAAAGATACACAAAGATTTTAAAAAGATAAAGATACTGTTAAACATTCTAATTCTATAGGTATAATAAATTTATTATATTTACCACTTTTAATTGATAAATTCAATTTAATTAAAAAATTAAATTTCAATAATAAGCATATCAAAAACAAATTAACACAAATTATTATGTGTGCCTGTCGATAAATTAGAAAATTCAATAATAAATCTATCTTCTTTATTTGTAATTAATTTATTTGTAACACAAGTAAAAGAAGTTGATTTTATTTTAAAGGAATGACCGTACATCTTCAAGAAGTGATGCGTTCAGAAGTGGACGGTGGTCTGGCTGGTCCAGCGAATCCGATACCGAGTGAGTCGATTGACTGCGGTTGTGAACAATTGCCATGCCCGAAATTAGCAAAATTTGCAACCCGAGGACTCTTCGTTGGCCTACTGTCATGGGTTGGTTTAATACAAGCTGCTGCTTACGCATATTTCTGCATAGCAGGACCTACAATAGCAAGGAGATTTCAATTTGATCCTTATGTAATGGGCATGTATTTCAATTGTTTTAATTACTTGTCCTATGATTTTTAACATTAAAAGTTGAAATTTATACGTTTATAAAAGCATAATTAAGTTTTAATCAGTATCACTGGGCCATTGGGAATTATATGGGGTTAAATTATTATTAGTTTTCAATTTATTTGTATATGTATTTATTTATTTGTATATGTATTATTTGTATATAATATTACTTATTATTAGTTTTCAATTTATTTAGAATTTTCAATTTAATTGAATCTCTGCCATGGAAAATATAAAATATAAAATAAAATCAAGTACACCAAATTTGAATAATTTAATATAAATTATTATAGTTTTTTTTAACTCAACGATACTATTTGAGTATTAAACAAATAGAATCTAAATTTCTTCTTCTTTTTTTTTTTTGTTAAATACAAGTTCTTCTATCCGTTGCAACAAGTATTCAATCTTCTGTAAATATACAGTTTATTCAATTTCAATAGATTATATAATAATTAAATTTCCTATAAATAAATATAAATCTATAATCTATTTATCAATATTACGAATTTAAAAAACTCTTATTAAACTATAATATATTAGTAAATTATAAAATAATTAAATTTTATGTAATTCATTTGAATTCGCAGTTTATTCATTGCTATAATAAATTATAAGACTCTTATCGACTTAACAGATTATTATATAATAATTATATAAATTTTGAAAAGTGTTTTTCGTATAGAGGGTGAAATTTAAAGAATGAAGACACTAATCACTAATTATACTAGATTATACTTGCTAATTTCTGCATTTATAAGAATTTTAGAACATGGTATGAAAAAATATTCAGTATTTATCGTGTAAAACAATTTTCTACCAAGATCCTATTTTTTAAATTATATTTAAAAATTTGTAATCTATCTGTTAATCATTCTCTTTGAATTTTGCAGAATGGATACTCGTCGTATCCGACTTGACGCCTTTCATTTTTGGCGTAATCATTGCATATTGGGGTGACAGAATTCATAGAGCTGCATGGATTGGTGCTATAGTTCTTCTACAAAGTGTTTCGTACTTTATTGTGATAATTCCTCATCTGACACACCAAATCAAAGTCGTCGAAGAAACCGAAAACGTGACACACATGTCAATATACGCAGGCGAGTAACAAATTGCATTCCTTATTTAATGATAGTCATACTTATTATTGACATGTGCAACTAAATTTGCTACTCGTATCAACGAATAACTTATTAATTTTTTAGTGTTTGAATTTGTTTACAATTTTCGAGAAAATGCATATTTACTATTTTAAACCATTTTAAAAGAAAAACAAAATCACGACTATCAAAATAGAAGCTTTAATATAAGACCAAGTGGATCGTTATATGATCTTCTTTTTATGAAGTTACATCAGTTTAAATGATCGCCAATTTTTCATTGACATTGGTACAGTTATGCTCTTCACAAGCATTAAAGTTTTAATGAAAAACAATTTAATCTTCATGTAGCCATCGTTTAAAAACGATGTGCATGGCCTTCGTGATCATTCTTGATCATTTATGTCAAATAGAAAGAAAACATTCAGGTTTTTACTAATTACTAATTACTAATTACTAATTAAATAGTAATAATACAATAAGAAAACAATACAAATACTCTTATAGTATTAGAAATTTATTTTCTTTATATTTGAAATGATAGTAAAATGTATAAAAGGAATTTTTTCGAACAAAATTTGCAGTTTTCAGCTTCAATCACTGAAACTTTTTCATTGAAATTGCATCTTCGTCATTGATAATTGCAAATTGCATTGCTTTTTCTATTTACTCGTTTTAACTTTCAAAACAAAAAGAAAAAATTTCTTCATCCTCGTACAAATCATTTCACATTGTGTCTATAGAATAATGCAATATGCCAATGTCGTACGCACATATCTTTTGTCATTTGTTTCAGAAAAATTTATTAATAATTTAAAGGTTAATTCTTGTCAAAAACCAACCAACAGTAATCAAATTTATAATAGTCAGGAATCACCAAGTGTCCTTGTAAAAGTTAAATCTATTTTCTACATCACGACAAATTACAATTTGAATTCAATTAAAATATATTCATTGTATGATACATTAATATTTTCTTTTCTTCTTTTAAATAAAAGATATTCTTAATTTTAGAAAGATAAAGTAGTGATATACTATTAATAATTACGACTATATTTTCTTTTACAGATGATAGTCGAGATCTGTGTTCAGACAGTTCTTCTAGAATTGTTGCAAAAGAGGATGAGCCCTGTTATTTCACATTTGCAACGATCCTCGTTGTACAAATCATGTCTGGTATTGCAAATATTGCATACTTTGCATTAGGCGTGTCCTATTTGGATGACAACACAAAGAAAAAACATATAGCCGCTTTTATTGGAGTTCTTATTGCCGTGAAGATTTTCGGTTTTCTTCTGGGATGTATCTTGGCATGGCTTTGCCTTAGGTGAGCATTCAACATAATTATACAGATATTAAAATTTCGTTGTCACAGCATATCTTAAAATCATTGTCAACTATTTACTAATTATAAATTTCATCCGGAAATTTTTTGATGTGGAGAAAATTTATTTTTCACAGTCCGGAAATTAACGAAAAATATTACTTTACTTTCTTACTAGAATATTTAAAGCTCTTTATCTTCTTTAATAATTTTAATACAGTTCATTTAGGTATTTATAATTTATTATACAATAATCATACCTTTTTATAAAGTTGGAATTTTTTCATGTAAATGAAGTGCTCAATAAAACACACATATTTTCTTTTGTAAATGATAATTTGTATTATATAGTATAAAAGTTTTGTAAAAATAAAACATCGTTAAATTCTTAAAATTTTACTGCAAACTGAAATATCATATCAACTAGGAGGGTTAAATAATTATATATTGTTAAATTAACCATGAAATTAAAATCAACGTTTTATTAAAATGGTGAAGAATATTATAAGAACACGAATTTTGCCAATGCTCAAAGTATTAAATGAAATATATTTTTTATTAATAGTCTATAAATATATACTATCAGAAGTAAACTGTTGAACCAAAATGAACTTTAATTTTATTACTATTATCTCTAATATTTATTGGTGCCACGTTAAAAAGTTTATTAAAAAACAAACTACATGTTCTATTTCTTAATTTACTATAATCTACATTCTCTTGTAATATATTTATATATTGTATTATACGTTGTATTATATTCCATAATCAATGATTCTTTATTACCTATTCTTTCTTATTCTTTATTATTTTTCATAATCAGTTCATTATAAAGAATTAGTCATCCTGTTCATAATTTTCATTTGATGTATTTGTAATTACATAGTAAACTAATATTGAAAATATACAAACCAAATACCTAATTTATATTTTATTGTACTTTACACAAATTCGATTGCACATTCCATAAAAAGTATTAAGAGTTATCGAGCCATTGTTTTAAGAATAATAAAAGTCAAAATAATCTCATCCAGAGTATGTACTCAAAATTCGAAATAGTAATATATAATTTACTTATGATTTACATATATTCAATACATATATTCAATTCTTTCTGAAAATTCTTATTGTTACAGAATTGATTCAGTCACTCTGAATCCTATAGAATCCTATAGAGAACAAATCGGTGCATGGTGGTTGGGATTACCAATTTTAACAATATTACTTATTGTTCCTGGTTTACTTCTTTCATGGTTCCCTCGAATGTTACCATCTGAGGTAATTGACTGGTCATTGTTACTTATTTTAATTATTAGACTACGGGTTTTTACACATTTGTAGAGAATTTTTAAATGCAATATGAAAATATAAAAATATGAAAGTTTTAAATACACAGAATATGAAAAACTACATTAATTATCCAAAGTATAATATTTTTATTATATAATGTTCGACACATAAAAAATTTTCTTACCAAGATTCTACATTTTTAATTATATCTTTAAAAAGTTGAATTACATAAAAATCCATAGTCTTAATCGTAGTTACTATTAATAATCATTTTTACTTATTAGTAATAATTTACTAATTAATAATTAATAATTAAATAATACTTAGCTTAATAATTACTAATACTTGATAATACTTACAATACTAAATTAATGGTAATTAAATATTTAATACTTGATTAATTTCTCAATAAATACTAAAATAATATTATAATAACATTTAGTACATATTTTGAATACAATTAAAACTTAATAAAACGATATTTTTTAAATTAGGTTGTCGAAAAAGCTGCTGCTTCTTTATTAAACATTTCCAACAATCAAAATCGAACGCCTCGCAGGATGGTTAGTCAGAAAATTGGTAGTTCTAATTTCTGGCCATCAATGGGTAGATTGTTCACTAATAAAATATTGCTTTGTCAAGTTATTGCTTGTACCTTTTATCTTATGGCCATTACAAATTTTATTGGTTTCGAGAATCTTATTGCACAGTCGAGATTTCATGTACCGAAACCAACTGGAATGTTGCTCGGTTTCGAGGACCCGATTTCATCAAGATTAATATCAAGTAAGATATAAATTTTATTTTGAAATATAAAAATATCATTTATAATGATATAATAAATTATATTATTATAATAATATTATAATGATATAATAAATATATTATATTATACATTATGCATGTATCTATATATTTTAGAATTTAATATTATATTTAAATTATTAAATTGTTACTATACAGAGTGTCAAAGAAATAATTTTCATAATGTATACATATATAGTTATATTGTCTATATAATATGTATTGTCTAATATATTAATTTATTTATAACTATATTATACATGTATTACATATAAAGGATATATATTATTAATACATTATCTACAGTTATATTAATACATTATATGCAATTATACTAATACATTATCTACAATTTCAGATATCTTGAAACCTGTTCTTGTTGGCTTAATCGTGATTATCTCTGGTTTAGTTATTGCTAAAGCGAAACCTGGCGCTAAATATGTTATTGGTTATGGCATTATCGTTATACTTTTAGCATGTGCAATTATATTTTCGTTATCTGCTACAACTTGTGAGAAAAATCCTATTGTTGGTACCACTAAAAGAGGATCGTAAGTACATCACACTTAACAAATGAAATAAAAGATTCAATAATATTATGACTGAATTGCAGATCTGTGTATAATTTTATATCTTCATAAACATTGCAGAAAAAATGTAATTTTAACAAAAATTTATTTTTTGCATCAAATATATGTAATAATAAGTTTATTATTATTATGTTTTTTATTACGTTTTTTTATTACGTTTATTATTATGTATTTTTTATCAAGTTTTTTTTAATTAAATTTATTATGTAATTTTATTAAATTTAGAATGTTTATTATATAGATTTTTGTATCTTAAAATTTCCCAAAATTGCATAGATCCACGGTTTAATTATTAATTCGAACATACGTCGTAAATTAACAATGCCTATTATTATTGTAATATGTACATTCTTTTAGCCTCGTCTTGCTGAAGTATTGCAACAGGAATTGTGGTTGTTCGAACGATGCTGACTTCCGTCCTGTCTGCGATAACAAAGGCACGTTCACCTTCTACAGTCCTTGTCATGCTGGTTGCACTTCTTTCGAACTTAGAAATGGCATAACAACTTACAGTGGTTGCAGTTGCGTAGGAGAAATGACGGGAGCTGAAAAAACGGATGCGATCGACGGACCTTGCACCTCAAACAACTGTCAAGTTAATTGGATACTTTTCGAGGTGAATGTTTTACTATTCTTTGCGATAGTAAATTTGTACAGTAGAATCTCCCATTCGAATATTTACTTAGTTAATATGATATTAGTAAGTGTTCATTAGCAATAAATGTACAGTGGATTTAAATATTTTTAGTTACATAAAAGATAGAAGAATGATTCAATTTATTGAATATTTAATCGAATTAAATGTAAAAAGAATTATTATTTTACTACGAAAAGAATTATATATTTTTAAAAATTATATATTTTTAACAAGAAAATATTTTATACAGTTAATATAGTAGAATTTTCCTTAACATAGTTAGTATAGTAGAGCAACATCCAAACTTTTATTAATATGAAAATTAAATGTTGCTATCCGAACAAAATATTTATTAACAAAAAATATCTTTTACTTTATAAACTATGCTTATATAAACTATATGTATGATGTACGATATAAATATGTTTGATGTGAAGAATTACATACAATCATCCAAAGTATAGTGTTTGCTGTAATATTTGATACTTTCATATGTACAACAATTTTCTATTCGAGTTCTAGTTTTTAAATTACATTTCAAAAAATTTAAATTTACTTCAAAAACTTACAATCTAATAACAGTGCAAAATAAAAATTAAAAAATGCAAATATATAAAAATAAAAAAAATACAAATATATGTTTTTCTCTTCTTCAGTTTGGAAATCTGTTGGCGTGCTTATTAGTTGCCTCGTCTTTTGTGGGAGATTTGTTAATAATCTTGAGATCAGTGAACGTGCAAGACAAGGCTATCAGCATAGGCTTCTGGATGACATGTTTCGCTGTATTCGGAAATATTTTTGGAAAAATTCTTTACGATATGATTGCGGATCTAACATGCCAATATTGGGGAACTCAAAGAATTTCGTGTCGCCTACACGATGGTTTAAAGCTTGGCAACTATTTGTCCTATACGACAGGCTCACTATTAGCCCTGTCCGTTGTATTAAAAATCCTGGTATGGATTTTCAGCAGAGATTTAGAGCTTTATATTCAGAGAGAAGAACAGCCAACAGCAATAACTGAATTGAGAGAATTCGTTCGCAATCCTGACACTGTGTCTAGTCAAGAAAACAAGCAAACTGATCCTACCCATGAGAGTAAGTGCTTGTAACATTTTTCATATTCTCCATATTTTACAGGTATTTAATTTTTCATTGTGATCTGTCGTGAGTCATCCAATCGTAGAAATTCAGTTGCAAACCTATAATCCTAGATCCTACATTCAATAAGATTATTTTTTTCTACGAATTATTATTTTCGAAAATAATTTAATTTAAAACCATAGCTTAAAATATATTCAACTTGAAGCTAAATTTTTTTGACTAATGACCATCGAAAAAATATTTAACTTCTTATATAGACGTTAACGTTATAACTTACGTCTCCATGAACGTAATTTTACACGAATTATATTGATTTGATGTTACTTGATTTATCTTTTATATATATATATATATATATTCATCTATTAATTAAGCAAGTAATATATAGTAAAGTACGTAAACGTAACTGGGAAAAAATGAATAAAAATTAATTAACATATTATTTCATTAAGGTATAAATAACGTGTTAGATTGATGCACACGAATTGTGATTACTCTAAAATTTAAATTTAATATTATTCATTACATTTTATCTTATCAGGAACTATCAATCACATTTAGAAAATAAATCATTTACATTCAATGTTCAGAATATTTATAATAAAAATATTTATATGACAGTGAATATGCGAATTTTTACGTATTTATGAGAGATTGAAAGTTGTAAAAATGCACACAATGTAAATACATTATCTATGTACAAAAATATATAAAATATTCGAAGTAAATTTATAAAAATTTTAATATACATAAAAATCCGCTATCTAATTTTCATGAATAATCAGAATACTTTCATTTTAATTTCATAACTTTAATTTCATAAATTTGAAAATTATGTTATGAAAATTACTGCATATGTAAGTACTTAAAGAAGATCAGGAACACTCTCTATTTAATCCAACAATTCTTCAATTAAAATGTCATTTAAAATATTTAATGTTGTAGGATATTTAATTAAATTAAAATTAACCTTTTCTAGATGATACACCAGTCCGAGTAGAAATCACGAACGGAGAGTTTAAAAAATCGACGAGATCTCTGAACGAAAATCCACCGAAAGAAGAAGAAGAGAGACAAAACGAAGAAACAGCGATGCTGAAATACGGTCCTATTGGTCCCGGGAATCGGCGAACGGATTCGAAATCATCACTGAACCAAACATCGCAGAATCAAAAGTCCGCCATTCGGAACTTGGATTCGGAAGACGAGCTGAGTTCCAGTGACGAAGAAAGTAGAAAAGATTCAACTACAAAAGTGGCTTACAGGCCATTGGATCTCGACTCAGACGTGGAAAGTGATTTAAGCAGCGTGGAGCCAAGATCGCGCAAGCGTATCACCGGAAAAGAATACGAACCCGTTTATAACAGCGATCGGAGCTCTTCAACGAAGAGTTCACCTTTCAGACGCGAATTCCCTAATCCGGATAACTACGATGATCCAAGGAAAATGAGACATGCAGATGGTTCTTCGAAAACTAGTAGCTTCGAATTCTCGAGGAGAAGGCAAGACGATAAACTGCAGAGGAAAGGGGATTTCAACGAAGTTGGTATACCGATAATAGATCCTCCTGTTGTGCATCCCACCTCGAAAGGTGTGAAATCACTGATCGATCGGTATGAATTGAACGCTGAACAGCGAACTGGAGAGAATCAAGAATCCGCGAATGGGAACGGAACTCATTCGGAAAGTAAAATAGGAATTCCGTTGGTGGCTATGGCACTGAATAGAGCTCCTTCGAGAAGTCAATATTCATCAGGGTTCAGCAGCTTAACGGATGGTAAGATCCTTGAAGATCGACCCGAATCCCGCGAAAACGTTAGCCCAAAAGTATCTAACAAAGGCAGTGCAGAGATGTTGCATACTGACTTTTGATGTACAATTACGACATTTTGGAAATTTTATAAAAACAGTTAATTTATATGGATCAGAGATTTTTAAGAACGACCCGATCATTGTGAAGTCAGCATGTAACGCAAATATGAATATATAGTTAGTATTAGTAAGAAAAAAAACGATCTAATATATAATTCTTCCGTTCTTTCTTTTGAAATTTTGTACTCCTAAATTTAAAATCCATAAAAATACTTAATTTATTTGGCACTTTTGGTTATTTTTCTTTGTCTGTTCAAACGTAATTTTATATATATAAAGTTACCTATAAAGCATCAAAGTATATAAATAAGTTGTTTAATCTGAAGTACTCTTCTTGCAGAAAATTTATTTCACTGAATTACAGCATCGACTGATGCGTGACGTGAATCTTTGAAATAAATATATTCAAGATAAAATATAGAAATTAATTGGAATATTTTTGATAAATAATTTAAGAAATTATTTATTAAAAAGAACAAGAATTTAAGAAATTATTTTATACAGCAATGATAGTCTTAAGTAAACAATCTTGCCTAAAATTTAAAAAGAATGCTCAAAAATTGATAAATATTACCAAAATATATCTTATGACTCTTAAAAATTAAATTCTCTGTATTTAAAAAAAAAAAGATGTAATTTAAAGATAAAAAAGATATGTTAAATCATTTTTCTTTTATTGGAAAAAAGCATAAGTTAAATAAGTTGGATATATTTCTTTCCAAGATTTTTTAAGATCAGTGGTATCTTTTAATATCAAAGTATATAGTATATAACATAAATATAGTACATAGAGAAAAAAACATTTAGAAAATAATAGAAAAAAATATTTTTTTACTATATCTTAGAAGTGAACAATGAGGTGCAATCCATCATTTAAAATGTTAAACTTATCTTGGATACTAAATAAGTGATTAAGTGCTGCAACAAAAGAATGTACAGAATATTTGCGAATCTTTAGAAAAATATATAATATATACTTTCTATTGATAATTATCTATATCAAAGAAATGAAAACAGCGTTTGACAAAATAATGTAACTAAATACAATTAATTGAAATTTATTGTTTCTAAATATATAGTCTAAAGCTAAAAATAATTGGATGATGATTTTGAATAAAGCTGTGTTACATTTAGCATATTCTAAAATAATTCGAGTTAAAGTTTCAGACACAACTCTTTTTTTTCTATTTCATATCGACTTCTGATGGGATATTTGTAATTTATGTACAAATTAAAACATTCTCCGGAAACTGTGGAATCGTACTATATTGTTGACCGATTTTGATCAAAATGCAATATGGACTCTTATTTGAAGTTACCATCCAATTAAAAATAATTTGAATTTAGTGAAAAATTCCATTAGAAAACCTTTAGTAATCTATAGATAGAAAAAGAAATATGAAATATATGTATATTAGTTGCAATTTTTATTGATTTCAGCCAAATCAGTAAGCTCAAACAAATTTCTGTTAAATGTTTCATCAACAACATAAAATTATAACTTTTAGTTATAATTATGGTATTAAAACATAAGCGTCCAACTCGTTTTTATTTTCACTGATAAGATTCAGCAATGAAAAGTGAAACGGTGAAGATAAAATATAATCACTTATCACAGAAGTATTTTATATTTAGTTTGATAATTCTTTTATAATTTTTTATCTTTTTAGCAGTCGACATAAAATTTATATCTATTATCAAGTGAAACGATTATATTACGTCAAAACTGATAAAACTGAAGAGAAAATTTATGATACATCAAATGTAATATTCTTCCATTTAAAACTAAAATATTAGTTTATTAGCAGACTGCGGATTTTTATGCAAATTTATATTAAACGAATAGAAAGTCAGCCTCAGTTGAGAATTGTTTTACGTATCAAATATTATAGGAAACAGGTTTTCGCCACTATTTGAACAAAATATTTGAAAAATTATTATTCAAATAATTATTTTAATAACTTTGATATAAATAATTAATTCAAATAATTGTAAATAAATCTTTCATTTGATACAATGTCATGTTGAAATAATCTAAACATTAGTTATTTGAACACGCAAATAATTTGTCTCCCAATTATTTCACTAAATAAAATAATTTTTTATTCTATTTTGTATTATATTTTGTATTTGATTCTACAAATAATTCTCCAAATTCCTAATTCGATTCACCTTGGGGTGGGATTATTTATTATTTTACTTCAATGAATGAAATTAAATAAAAGATCATTTAGAAATGATTTATTTGACTCAGACACAAGATAAGATTACTTTTTCTTATTTCAAATTGTTATTTTTTATCTTTATTTGAAATAAAATTTGCACAATCTTGATACTTTTGGACATTTTACATATTTTTTCATATTATGTGCACTCTACCTAACTTTGCGCTTGAAAATTTTCTATAAATACATAGAAATCCACAGTTAAAAAATAAATAGTTTAAATTTGTAGCATAGATAATAATTTAAATTTAGTTATAGGATTTAAGAAGAATATAAATTGATACAATCGGTTTTCTACGAATATGTGATTATCAAAAATACGATAAAAATAATGTATCAAAGAAGACTGTATGACCACATAATTAGTTTAATTATGTAACACTGCCAATAAA